CCTCCTCTTTGCCTCCCTCGTGACTCCCGCAGGACTCCAATGTCTTTGTCAGTCTTACTCCCGCAGGACTCCAATGTCTTTGTCAGTCTTCGGCTGTCTGACGCTGAAGCTGACGCTCCAGGAAAGAGCTACCTAAAATGGACGCCTGATTGCTGAGTTCTCAGAGCTGATGGGCGACAGCAGAGTGGCCCTGCCTATATTGTAATGCAGGCTTGAGTGCCCACTGCGACCTGTGTAACAGGTTCCCTTGAGCAGATTTGAGATTTAAAATCTCTCAAAAGCGCCGTTTTAGCTACAATAACTACAGAACAATTATACAGAGTAGAATAAATGAAACAGAGAAGTCTAATTAAACAAGAATATAACTTACAGTGGTTGCTACGTCAATAGGTATTGTTGTCACCCGGTCTAGATGCACACTATTTGATACCAATTTGGTAATACAATTAATAAAAAGAACAAGGTTTGGGTTCGTTTTTCAGATATGACTGTGACGTTAACGTGTAAGCTCAATAATGAACTCCAGCTCAACCAACCATATTGTAATATCTAAGTAATCATCTTGAAATATGACATTATTATTTGTAATATAAACACATCTTATTGTTAGGTTGATTTCACATACACTAGGCCGCTCTTCAACATTGACGTTAGCTTGTCTACATAATCGATCATAGCGAATTTAAATTAACCTTAGCAATGCATAAAGTTACCTACCTAATAAAATATCTCTCTAACTTACCTTAGGGATGACCTCATTTTACCAACCTCAAACAGAAGCTGTTTGTTCTACAGTATTATCCCACTTAATGCTTAACACTTCTCTATTACGTTTTAACTTGGAGGCTATGATTAGCATCGTTAGCAGAGATGTACCTACCACTTGCTTACATGCTAACCCAAGCCTTAACATTCATTAACCTTAGCTGACTCAAAACATAAGCAACACATAAATAAAGTACTCAAATTTCACTTACCGCAAAACCGTATTCATGCACCGTCTGTTTTAACCGCAGAGCGACTCACAATAGTCCGATATAAGCATAAGAATAGTCCACAAGGCACCAGCACAACAAACATGGCCGAGTTCAAGTTATGTTCCCCGGATGAGCTGAGCAGGCAGAGTCCCTGTAGCGTCACAGAGCTGCTAGCAGCGAGACAGGAAGCTAACAACAGCAGTCACTGGACAGACCTGTCACTCAATGTGACCACGCCCTAATTTATGCATAACTTTAAGGCTTAAAGGTCCCATGTCATGGCCATTTCTACTGATCATAATTCCAGTGTTGAGGTCTACTAGAATAGATTTACATTGTTCAATGTTCCAAAATCACATTGTTTTTCTCATACAGCATCTCTGTATAGTATGGGTATTCACTCTCTGTCCTACACGCCATGTTGGAGCTCCTGCCCCCCCCCTCCCTATGAGCCCACTGTGCTCTGATTGGTCAGCTCGCTCACTCTGTTCCGATTAGTCAACCACCGTTACAGCGGAACATCAGTGATTATGTGTTACAATGGCGTTTGTTAGCAACCAGAAAATGACACCAGTAATGACAAACAGATGAGAATGCTGCGTGGGGTCTGGGTGCCATGTTGGCGGGACGTTGCGGACCTCGCTGTTCCGCCCTTTGAGGCCCGAGGAGCGGACAGTGTGAGCTGGACTACTGGTGTCGTCTCCTGGTTGCTGCGTGGGGTCTGCGAGACAGCGCGGAGCTCAGCCTGAGCACACACTCACAGCCTGAGCTCCGAGTGTGTGTGTGTACGGAGCTCCGCGCAACACCGCAGAAATCTCCAACGAGGCGTTCTGGGGCAGCATAGACAGGTCTTTTCTGAGTTAGAGTTTTACTCGCTACAGGGTGTACTTTGAGGGTTTGTAACTTTGCAGACCGTTTACATCAGGGGTGGGGAACCTTTTTCCTCTCAAGGGCCATTTCAATTTTCACAACATCCTCAGAGGGCTGTACAAATTATTGAACTTAACCTCTGCTTAAAAAAACTAAAATCACAGCCTTTCTTTCATGCTGTGCAAAGATAATCCAGATATCTCACTATGACTCGTGCATGCATGCACGTGCACAGTTGTGGCATGACCATCAAAACCACCAAAACAGAAAGATATGGATACAAGATTTTTGCAAATGTATTTAGTGTCCTATCCATGTGAACATGATATAAGTGGGGGGGTAGACCTCAAATAATTTTTTAAGTTAAAAGCATCAATCTGGTGCACTTTGAGAGCAAAATTAGGAGATCTATGGATACATCTCTCAACACCCATATGAAACAGAACTGCAAGCAGATTTTCTTTTTCTTTATGGATATTTTACAAATCACCCGCCTTTTAAACTGTATTCTTGTTTATTAATAACAACTATTTTTTACTGTCATATAGTATTTTATACCAGTTTTTCCTTTATTCTCTTATTTTTTTATAACTATAAGGATCATATAAAGATGTGATGAGATTTTGCGTTTGTTTATAAATTACCTCGAGGGCCGTATCAAATGGTCTTGCGGTCAGTATACGGCCCGGAGGCCGGAGGTTTTCCACCCCTGGTTTACATGCTTAAAAAGCTACATAACACAGGGCAACACAGGCAATAATCGGAAAAGCATGTCATGGGACCTTTAATAAAACTTAAACAAATTATAAATGGTAGTAACTCATTAATAAATGGTGATTTGTTTAACACTTTACAAGGCTCCCTTTTGGCAATTATACATGTTAGTAACTCATAAATACATGGTCATAAAGAGATGCCAAGAAACATCAAGATGGAAGGGGGGAATCAACTCACTGAACAACAGATACCAAGGATATTGGCTGATGAAGAAGACGAAGTAAGCTAGCTAGCCAATATAAGGCTTAGTCATCTTGCCAAATAGTGAGCCTGTGTTGATGTATGGAAACTATGTTAGAACTTGTTTATAAATGGTTCTTAATGATTAATAAAGTGTTTACAACCTAATTAATAACCTAATTATAAACCCTTTATGAATCCTTTATAAGGGTAGTCTTATTGTAAAGTGGTACCGGTATTCCTTATATCTTCTTTCTATATGATCATCAAATTATATAGTTATTAGTTATTAGTCTTAATGTTGAAAAATATTGTTATCTCTAATCTTATTATTTTTTATTAACAACAAATGTCTGGGCTTGTAACTACCATTGATACAAGATTCAAGCCTTAAAAGGAAGTCGATGGTTTCAAGGAAATAACATTCTACAAATGAAACTGGACCGAATCGATGACTCAGTACATTATTAGTTACTATATACTAAGACTGTATAAGATTAGTATTAGGGATTCATTATTTATTTACCGAATTAAAGGGACTATAACCATATAATAAGAATGCTGTTATATAAAGTATATAGCAGATCACATTGACATTGACATTGAGACCGATAATTACAACAGTGAAACATAAGGAACACATCAGAAAGAGTTGCTTTTTAAAAAATAAAAAAGTGACAAAATATCATCAGGGATAAATAGTGGTGTCCGTGAGCTTAAAGGTGACCTATCATGCTATATTTGAACAATATATTGCAGGGCCATACCTATATAAAGTATATAAATATAGTTTGTTTTTCAAAATACCAAACAGATCCTGCATTTTAGCCATGCCTCATTTCGCTCTATTTGTTCTTTCCAGCGCAGTTTTTGCAGGGGGCTGATTCTGTGAGCTGCAGCTGACCACGCCCCCCTGCAGGAGAGGGGAGCGTGCTCTGAGATCAGCTGCTGGGCTGTCAGAAGAGGGGGAGAAAAAGAGATCTCCGTCCACCGTGTTTTATTCTTATAGAAGTAAGAAGAGAAGTAATGGGGCAGAAACCCTCCTTTTTACGCAGCGGTCCAGACATAGACATCAAACGGCGACACATATTCAGTTGCCAGTTACTTTGGCATTAGGGCAGGGATATCTAGATACTTTCCAAGGTTTGACATAATGAATTGTGCTACTTTTAAAGCAAGCAACGATGTTTTCAAATCTGTAATCAAAAAGCTCCTCAAAAACGCTATCGAAACAGTTCCTGCCGTTGCTACGTTAGTTCAAACAGTAACAACGGACTACTTTTCTTAGCGGATGCATGTCAATTTAAATCAATACAACTATTTTTTAAATCAATAAAATCATTTTCTAAATCCATAAAAGCATTTCAATTAATATTGGGAGTCATGTCGTTACTTTGTTGAGAATGTGGCCATGTAATAAGCGGGATAATGTGCACATTGCACAATGTGCCTTCATGCCGATCTAGATCCCTCCGCTTCGCGTCGGGCTCCTGATCAGCCTGTCGGTGTTCTTTTCCCCATAATGACCGCGTCGCTGCACATTATCCCTTACATAGGATTATATAGAGTCATTATTCATTTGTTTTAAAGCAGGAGGCGCAAACGCTTGCCTCGGGGAGGGAGAAAAAGAGCCACAGCGGAGAATAAACAGAAGGGCAACCATGGCAACCATGCAAGGGAAGTCTTCTTCGTTGCTTTTGTGGCAGACAACAGCGCCACTTACAGGCCTGGCATATGTAATACAGCGTCTCCAGCGCTTTCGAGCAGCAATGGCCGGCCGTGGCCCAACCTCTCATTCCCCTGATAGGTGGAGAATTGACCACTTTTGTGACGTAGAAAATAATTAAAATCTGGATCAGTCTGTATCAGATCCGTTGCAGCCCCGTTTTTAGAGATTTGGGTATGGAGGAAAATAGAGAGGGTTGTGTTTTCTGACACTTGGTGAGTTCCCTGGAACACCGGGGACTCATATTCATGTATAAAAGACGTACAAGAGTGCATTTTGCATGATAGGTCCCCTTTAAGAGACTGTGTAGAATACGCATGGAGGAACCTAACTGACCTTTGGGAGACATAGTTAAAAGGTTAAGTTTGAGATTGTCTCGGGAAGCAGAACAGACTGATCACATGAGAGCGGGATTTTTCATTTGCGTTCGTTTAAGAGGACTGAGAGAGGTTTCAAGTCCAATATCAGACCTCTTTGACAAGTGATCCAACGTGGAGGGCTGTGAGGGGGGTCTGCTCCGCTGGCTTGATGACCACAGTGTTTCCACAGCTCAGGGCTGGCGCCATCTTCCACATGAACATCAGCAGAGGAAAGTTCCACTAGCATAATAAAAAAACAAGGCAGGTTTCAAGCACAACATCCCAAAAGTAGCACAGTTAGTGTGAAATTCAAGTTATAATGAAATGTAACCTGAATTCACCCCCCTCTATCAGGCTACAAAACGTTTTTTAATGAATGAACATGATATTCCATAACATTTTGCTTCTCGACGCACGATGATCTTCTGGGCCACTCCTTTGCTACAGTGGCAGAGCCAAACTATCTTCAAATGCTTAAGGAGTTTGTAGTCATCACTTTGGGTCTCTCATTCTTCAATCGCCAAGAAGAGATTGAATTCACACTTACATTAGTCATAATAATTATTAATTACAGCATTTGTAAGGCTACACCCATACTAACACAGCTGGTTTATCAAACTGCTGCTTACTTCCTTAAAAGGACTATGATGTTTGTCAAATTGAACATCTTTATAACCTTTGATCAGCCCAAGGAGGAAAGGAGACAATCCTATTCCCAGTAGCTAATCATAAATATGGAATAATGCAAAATGCTGATGAAATTACAATTAATAGGGAGATGATTTGACTATAGCTGGAGTTACAGTTTGTATAATGGAATGTTTAAATGAAGAAGAAATTACATTTGAAATGTGGTTTATTCTGCCCAACTGCACATTTCTCTTTTAGGTACGTTAGGTAGGAAATCTGATCCGAGTGCGTTCGCAAATAAAGGCAACCTATTCCAAAACCCCACTGATAGTGACAGAAAGATCATAGAGCTATATTAACATTCTTGCAAGTAAAACATTCATTTTAATTTTAGAGAATTGTGACAATATATAGTTTGGCATTTCAACCCATCCATCAAGATCCATTTAAATGCTCTTTAAATGTAATTTAAATTATTTTAGTGATTATCAACTGTAGGATATATCTGATTTACTAAATAACACATTTTACAATACTTTTGGGTTATCTGAAATAATTGTTCAGTTACATATAGACTTATTAAAAGGGAAGAAACTGTAAGAAACTGCCAACATCTTTAAAAATCCAAAGAAGGTAAGGTACAGACTGGGAGCATTACCAAGATACAGCAGGATATCAGGAGATCAGCATGTAAAGAAATATGAACATCCTCATTGAGGCTCATTCTGTACTGTAATCTGGGATGAGCAGAAAATGATATTTGCAGTAAGTTTAAGGCAGCGTACACATGCCGTGTTTTTGCGTACTCAAATCCACTGTTGTCAATGTAGACACCACTCTTGTTTTCAGGCTTCAGAAAGCAACATAGCACCATCACTGCCACAATGAAAGTGGTGAATGACATTACGAGTATTTTAGACAATAAGCAGAGTTGTGCAGCTCTATTTATTGACCTTTCCAAAGCGTTTGATACCGTCGATCATCGCATCTTAAAGCAGAGGCTACTCAGTATTGGCATATCCAGCCATGCAGTGGGTTGGTTTGTGAACTACCTCTCTGAAAGGTCCCAATGTGTTCACTTTGATGGGCTGTCTTCTGAGTGGTTAAACATTGCTAATGGTGTTCCTCAAGGTTCTGTTTTAGGTCCACTTTTATTCTCCATCTATATCAACAGTTTAGGTGAAAATGTGGATGATGCTACTTTACATTTTTATGCTGATGATACCGTGATGTATTGTGCAGCTCCCTCCATTAAGGAGGCTGGTGTTAAATTACAGGCTGTTTTTAACATTATTCAGACTCAGCTTGCTGAACTTAAGCTTATTTTAAATGTTGATAAAACCAAGTTAATGCTCTTTTCTAAAGCTAAAAAGACACCAGAGCCTGTTTTAGATATTGTTACTACGCAAGGACAAGTACTTGAAGTGGTTACCAGTTATAAATACCTAGGTATCTGGCTTGATGATTGTCTTACTTTTAAACTTCATGTCAATAACCTGCTTAAAAAGCTGAGGGTTAGACTAGGTTTCTTTTTCAGAAACAATTCCTGTTTCTCATTTGAAGCCAGGAAAAGGCTAGTCACTGTGACCTTTTTACCTGTGCTGGACTATGGTGATTTGATCTATATGAATGCACCTGCCCATTGCCTGGAAAAGTTAGATGCCGCCTATCACAGTGCCCTGAGATTTGTTACTAACTATAAAGCACTTACTCATCACTGTACCCTGTAGGCCAAGGCAGGTCTGCCTTCACTAACTGTACGGAGGCTCAGTCATTGGTACATGTTCATTTACAAAGCCATGTTGGGTAAACTACCTTTTTATATCTGCTCTCTGATCTCTCCACGAATTGAAAGTACATATTGCCTGAGATCTCATGATGTTGTTTTATTAAATGTGCCAAGTGCTAGGACTGTCTTAGGGAAGAAAGCTTTTAGTTGTGCAGCTCCACTAAATTGGAACAGTCTGCAAACATGTTTAAAACTGAGCACTTAGGTTCCCCTGCATCATTTTAAAACTCGGCTGGGTGACATGCTGTTTGATACTCATGGTACCTGTCACTGTAAATAGAGTTTGTAAACTGTACCCTGTACATTATGTTGTATGTCATCCTTATTGTTGTTCTGTTGTTTTTATGTTACATGTGTAACTAATGTCCTGCAGGTCACCCTTGAAAAAGAGATCTTTTGATCTCAAGGGGCTTTCACCTGGTTAAATAAAGGCTACAAACAAACAAACAAACTCACAGCTGAGTCCTCGCAATTAATATTTTGGAATTGTCACCGCTTGTCATGTGACGACAAACAACCAATCAAAACCAATCTTTCCTGTCTACTTTCGGTCTTTGGTATTTGAGAAGCGTATTATTTAAAAAAAATTTAAAAAAAGTTGGAAAGAGGCAATGATGACATATTTATATTATATTAGACACGCAGTAAATATAATTAGACAACAAGACTAGCTAGACAAGTCAGCCATGTCGTTCTCCCCAAACCAATAATAACAATTTCAAAAACAAACGTGTACCATCAGCCGCAGTCTGAAGTACAGAGGACAGAGTACTTCTCATGAAGTACAAAGTAACCGGAAGTCCAGATATCTTCCAGATATCTTGTTTGATACAAAATATCTGTAAGATGAGTGTACTTTTCATATCATACATACTATGAGTCGGTTCAGAGGACAGACCTTCGTAGTTATCATCAAACTGGGACTTTTAATCTCAAGTGGAACTGGACCCAAGCTTTGCTTGATTCAACACTGGGTGACAGGGTTTGTAACTTTCACATGTGTTAGCGCTGAAGTCCGTTAAGAATGGAATTTTCAGAGGTCCATTTCCTTTCTCCAGAATTTGTTATCTCGCTGTAAATCAGAGGAGCTTCAGAATCTGGACCCTCAGTTTGCCATCTTGACGGAGTTTCCCAACCCGATGAGCCACATGATTTCTCAATGACAGGAAAGTCATAAGCGAAGCTTTCCCTTATTCTGCCTTCACTTTTGTCCAATACATTATTAAATAGTCTCTTCATTTTCTGTTTTCGTATTGAAATTGACTTATTATCCTTTTATAGATCATTATTCATGTATTATTGATGAGCAAATAAGCAGTCAGAGCCCTGTTGAATTTGTTAGTGGGATTTGCTAAATGTTTTGGCCTTTTTCCATGAACTCGTCCAAATTTGAAACGTCTTTACTTTCTTCTTTCTTCATGTTCTCCTTTTCCCTTTTGCGTGTAAGATCATGTAACCTCCTAACAGTGAACCTGGCTATTGAGGGCCCCTGGAGGCCCTAGGGAGGTTTCCTGCTTGGTTAGCTTAGGCTAATGCTATATACCTCTTTTGTGTTTGTAAATGACACCAAGCAAGTTCAGCTATGGCTGATCCTTTTGACTAACTGTAAAACAGTCTGATCGTGCTGCCCCTTTTTTTGTACTAAGAGGACGAACATTTTTAGGATAGTTTGGAAAGGGCAAAGAGTAGCTTATGCCATTCACTCTGAATTATAACTGCAAGTCTCCAACCGAAATAAAAAACAAGCATAATCTGGGGCTAATTATCCATCAGTTTTTTGGGTTTCCCAGAAAGATATACTGTATGACTTGGATGTTGGTCCACAGAGAATATACATGATAATACAATGAGCTCTAAGTACTAAGAGATCATTCAAAGTTAAGACATTCAGAAAAGAGGTCATTTATTTTCCACTTGTTCATTTTTGTGTTGGAAGCAATGGACAAATAATTGGGCACTCAAACCCAAATTAGAAAGCAATGCATACTAGTGCTGCATGTTTTTTACTTGTACAACAACAGCAGTGAGCTCTGTAAAGAGAAGGCTTTCTACCAGCAGAAACTTAGCTAAACGCCATAGTGTGTTCCAAACCACATCAAGGATTATTTCTGAAACAGTATGGACCTCAAACGCTTTCTCTCTTGCGGGTTTACCACAAGGACAGTACCTTTTTATATCCGGCTTCTTTACACATACTCTCTCCAGTACAGCGTTAGCTCTGAGTGTTAGTGATGCTTGCTAATGTAAACACAGACCATATTACTTCCAAAACACGTCGCATATTGTTTCTGATACAGCAACGTTTCTGATAGGGCCGTGGGGGCGTAAAGCCAGCCCACATTTCAGTAATGTCGTCTTTAGAACACTTGAAAGATGATTGATTATTCATGTATAGATGCAAGCTGTACAGTACAAAGTCTCAACCTAAACATTTGATATTGTGCAATGGTGTAAATGTTTAAGTGCTTATTTAGATTGTACACACACACAATCATGTGCATGCACGCCCAAACACACACAGTAACATTATTTACTTTTTACACCAAGTTATAGCAATGTGAACAGTAAACATTTTTCTTAAAAAGTGATTGCTCTGGACTCACCGGAATGATTGCTCCACACACTCCAACAGGCTCATGTTTGGTTAAACACAGGAAGCTTTCATCTGTGAAATACAGAGAAAAATAAAAAAGTCAGTCTGTAATCGAGATGGTGGTTATTATTAAAGCCGGCCAATATTTCCCGGTTCTTTTGTTATTGCTTTGAGGCACCAATTAAAATGAAGGATTCAAGATGCAAGGCTTTTATTGTCATTCGTACATAGCTTCAGTATAGTTATGACAATGAAAAGCTTAGGTCACAGGCTCCTCCAACAGTGCAACAACAATAAAACAGATAATGGTGCAAGTAAATCAAATAAAATAGAATATAATAGAAATAGTGCAGAATAGTCTATATACAAGTAATTGGAATATTGATATCTATAAGTTGCAAACAGATTAATGTTATGGATGTTCTTTCAAAAGTTAGGATAGACTGAGGTTCCAGAATGAGTGTCTAAACCTGGAGAGAAACATCAGACTGTATGAGTGCATGTGTCCCTGAAACCTTCTGCTATCAATTCAACCTAAACCAAGATGTTTCCAAACCTTAGCGTTTAACTGTAAGCCCTTTCTGTGTGTCTTTCTGGAGTGCTAGTTGGTTTTTTAAAACACATTTTGAAAGATTTCACAAAACACAAATTACTTCTCTATAAGAAACAAAAAACATCTCATTTAAAATGTTTTCAAGTTTCCCCGACACAGCCAGAAGGTTCCCCTGTGCTTTCTTACACTCAGAGTGAACATTTCTTTTTATTGTTAAGCTGTTTTACACTACAGTTGTACTGAACATGGTGACAGCGGCTCAGCAGATAACTGGTCAGACCTGGCCTCCTAGTCTGCCCCCGACCTTCTCCAGTTTCAATTCCAGCTGCCTTTATCAGTGAGACACTGGGTGAGTCATGTTCATCACACCTTAGGACACTTCCGCTTCACTTCAGTTGGCTGTCACTTCAGTCGGTCATGTTACGACCTCAAAATTACTCCTTCCAACATATGTGTTGGACGGACTTGCAAAACAATGACTTGGTCCCACCTCTGCTCCACACCTACACTACTGATATTACTGACTCACACACCTTACTTTGGTAGATTCCTTGGTTTGTTGGTTTAATTATAATAAATACCTTTCTTTACATTGTGTCCTTTTACCATTCTGTTGTCATGGCCGAGAGCCAGGCCATGACAACAGCCTTAGGACTACTGCAGCTCTGCTGGCTAACCCCCACACCTTTATTATGCTTATCCTGTCATTAGTGCAGTGGTTCTCAAAGTAGGGGGCGCAGAGGTATGACAGGGGGGGCGCGAGAGACGAGGAGGAAAAATGGTTATTTAAAAAAAGGATTAAAAAAAAAAAAAAAAAAAAATCATAATTAAAAAAATTATTGATTAGAAAATAATATGATACAGTACAGTACTATTACGTCTGGCTCTCTGGGTTTCATTAAAGCTTGGCTCTGTGTGTGTGTGGAACGAGCCATTTTGTGTGCGTGCACGAGCGAGAGAGAGCGTGCACCGGTACCGGAGATCGTTGTGGTTAGCTTCTGGTGCTAGCGAGCTACGTTAACGGATATAAAGAGTTTTTTCAACAACAAAGTGGAGGAGAGTCCTCTCCTGTCAGACTGAGAGTCTCAGTGAGCTAAAGGACTCTCAGTGTTATCTCAGTGGGTCTCAAACGTTTTGGTCACCATTAATGTAAACAATTATTTCCGAGGCACACGTTTATATGATCAATATAGTTATAAAAAAACAAGAGAATAAATGAAAAACAGCTATGAAATACTATATGACAGTAAAACAAGAATAAAGTTTAAAAGGGTGATTTGTAAAATATCCAAAAAGTAAATCTGTTAACAGTTCTGTTTCAAATGGGTGTTGAGAGATGTATCCATAGATCTCTTCATTTTGCTCTCAAAGTGCACCAGATTGATGCTTTCAACTTCAATATTTAAAAATAAATCTTCCCGGGGGAGCATGCCCCTGGACCCCCCTATGTGAGGTCCACTCCCCACTTATAAAAATAGCACTTTACCCCTGCTTACACCTATATGCCGTGAGCTGATTATCGAGCCTTCATTGTAACAGTTGCGGGTACGTTGTGTATATGCGTGGGGAGTGTTGCAGTAGAACATTCCACTGTAGCGACCGGTGCATTAATGGGAAACCCTAAATGTTTGAGCACCCTCTATGAAACGTCAACCTACCCCACAGCACCCCAAAAATAAATCTCTGGCGCCGCCACTGAGCCTGACTTGTGTTGGGGGGGGCCCGACCTTTTTTTTTCTCCAAAGGGGGGGCCTGACAGAAAAAGTTTGGGAACCACTGGTCTAAGTTATCTCAGTGGGTCTCAAACGTTTTGGTCACCATTTATGGAAACAATTATTTCCAAGGCACACGTTTATATGATCATTATAGTTCTAAAAAAATAAGAGAATAAATGAAAAACAGGTATGAAATACTATATGACAGTAAAAAAAAAATAAAGTTTAAAAGGGTGATTTGTAAAATATCCATAAAGAAATAGTAAATCTGTTTACAGTTCTGTTTCAAATGGGTGTTGAGATGTATCCATAGATCTATTCATTTTGCTCTCAAAGTGCACCAGATTGATGCTTTTAACTTCAATATTTAAAAATAAATCTTCCCGGGGGAGCATGCCCCTGGACCCCCCTAGGTTAGGTCCACTCCCCACTTATAAAAATAGCACTTTACCCCTGCTTACACCTATATGCCGTGAGCTGATTATCGAGCCTTCATTGTAACAGTTGCGGGTACGTTGCGGGTACGTTGTGTATTTGCATGGGGAGTGTTGCAGTAGAACATTCCACTGTAGCGCCCGGTACATTAATGGGAAACCCTAAATGTTTGAGCACCCTCTATGAAACGTCAAGCTACCCCACAGCGAGTTCTGATCGCTCAGTGAGGATACTTATATTTCTGGAATCTGTGGAATCTCAGCTTGCTAGCAAAGCTTGTTTGTGCAGATCCGATAAGTAATAAAGTATTTATACCTGGAGTTCTGTGCTATGTGCGGTAGTTTTTTCCGCTCAGGGCTCATTTAGATGCTTCTTGTGAGACTTGTGTTTTGTTTCGGTAAAAATTATCGTTAGTTAGCTGAGTTTCTTCCCGTTAGGGTTAGGGGCTCTCTGGCTTAACAGGTTAACCTGGGGTTAAGTGTGTGTGTGTGTGTGTGTGTGTGTGTGTGTGTGGTTAATTTTGCACCTTTCTTAATTCATTACTTTCTTTTGAGTTGCTGTGTCGGTACAGGGCACGTGTGAGTGGCGGTGAGTAATATTTAGATTTGACCTGCTTGTTTCCCCTCCCAACAGTAACTGTCTGCACTCATTTAGTCGTTTTTTTTTTTTTTTTCACTTACATTTTTATTGACATTTTTATAAACATACAAAACCAGTGTGCGAAAAAGTGCACGTCCCACCGTCCGGGACAGGTTATTCACAACATTGGACAAGTAGATTTTTTAAATTGACTTGTCCAATGGACAAGTGACATTTTTCGCCGCTATTTATTGACAAATTATTGATAAATTCAGCTTACAAAAGGCATAACTCATTCGCAAATTGTCCGTGTCCGCCGTTGTTGTTTGCAACCGCTTTACGTTTTTTTACTCACTTACGTCGTGTCGTAAAACTGTGTGAAAATGAAATACGATGGCGAAGAAGAAGGTTCTAGTGGCCCCAAGAGGGCAACAAAAGATTTCTTTCTTTTCTAAGAAGGTTTGTACACATCATTCTCACAGTTGTAAAATGGTGTGTTACATTAACAAGGAAAATAATTGAAATAAATGATGTCCGAAAATAGTGGATTAAGTGCTTGAAAGGGGACTTTTATTAATCCATTACATTACATTTAGCTGACACTTTTATCCAAAGCGATTTACAATCCCTGTGGGGAAATTCAGTAGGCAACAGGGTAAGGGTGAAAAACAGGACAGCACAGATTCACACAGGTTCATCAAATCAAAAATAAAATCGAAGATAAAAATAAAAATAATGAAAAACTATTAAATAAGAAATTAATAAAAATAATAATAAAAAAGGGGTAGACCTATGTAAAATACTTTTTTCTTTTAAAAGGGAGGGATTGAAAGGGGCTCTTTATGTACCAAGGGGCTTGAAAGGGGCATATCAAATTATTTCAGAAAAAAAACCCAAAAAATGCAGAAAGGTTTGTGGGGAGTCTACGAGTACCTAACATTCATGTTGACAAAAATCTATAATTTGTCTGCAAGAACAGGAGTCTGAACAACAGCCTGAACATGCTGAAACGAGCCCTCAGAAAGTCCCAGAGTGTGAGCAGAACGATGGCCCCCCCAGTCACGAGAAAGTCTCTGCTAAAAGGCCATGTTCCGTTATCTCACCAATGGCTGGTCCATCTAAAAAGGCCAAGAGTGACATCGCCCTGACACCCAAGAGGAAAAGAACATTCATTGAGACTTGGAAAACCCAGTTTCCATGGGTAAGATGTGTGGACGACATCATGTTCTGTGAGGTCTGCAGAGAATATCCATCCATTGCTGACCACAGCAGTAAACTGTACGAGGGTGTCACAGGGTCAAAACGCATTGAGACACTTCAGTCACACGAATCCAGCAAATATCACCTTCTCTGCATTCAAAGGAAAGAGGTCACAGAGAAAGGCACAGGGCCAATGTTTGTGGCTCTCAAGAAGCAGGCAGAAAATATGGACGACCAACTGAAACCCATGTTCAACACTGCGTTTTATGTCGCCAAACAAAAGTTGCCTTTCCGTTCATTTGAGGGCCTCATCGAACTTCAAGAGAAGAATGGCATTAAAATGCCTACACAGTACCGGAACGATAAGGGGTGCAAGGCATTTGTGCAGGCCATTGCAGAAGTCGAGAAGGACAGAGTTTCTGAAGACCTCAAGGCTTCAAGATTCTTCGCTCTGATGGGAGATGGATCCACGGATATATCTGTGACAGAACAGGAGAATGTATATGTTAGGTAATTATTATTTTGAATTCTTTTGTAAGTCTTATTTAAGTTACATTTTATCTCCAAAAGGGCCTTTTGTTTATGAGTAA